CACGCTCCCCTTGACTGCAGGTACAACAAGGAGCTTAAAAGGCACCTGCCATGACTGTGCACACGGTGCCACGGTTCACCCAAGACCCAGGCCCCCCCCCCCAAGCACCAAGGATACCAGAGCATCACTGCCCCAGACAGAGTCTTCCATCCATAGTACCTTGGGGCTAAGAACCATGGGTGGACCTCTGCTTCATCTGTTTCTCCAGCCCCTCTTGAAACTGGCTATGCTTGTAGCCACCACCATTTCCTGCGGCAGTGAATTCCACACGTTAATGATTCTTTGGGTTGAAGAAGTATTTCCTTTTACCTGTTTTACTAGTAAAGGTAAAGGTTTCCCTTGCCCGAAAGCCAGTCGAATCCGACTCTAGGGATGCGGTACTCATCTCCGCTTCTCAGCCGAAGAGCCAGCGTTGTCTGAAGACGTCTCCGGGGTCATGTGGCCGGCATGACTAAACACCAAGGCGCACGGAATGCTGTTTACCTTCCCACTGAAGTGGTACCTCTTTATCTACTTGCAGTTTCTTGCTTTTGAACTGCTAGGTTGGCAGGAGCTGGGACCAGAGACGGGAGCTCACTCTGTCATGCGGCACACTCAGGTCTCGAACTGCTGAACTGCCCACCTTCCGGTCTGCAGTTCAGCGTCTTAACCACTTGAGCCACCGCAGAACAGACCTGCTCTGACTCACAGGCCCTGTCCTGCCAGCCCCCGCCTCGGCTTGCACCAATTCCTGGAGGGTGCAGTTCCAATTCCACTTCTTCCCACTAGGGTACCGCTGCCACCACTGTCCTTTTGGGGTCTTCCTGTGGGAAGGGACAGGCTCCTCCTGACACCCCTTCTCCCCACGGAGGCCCTGCCTGACTCTGGTCTCCTGCTCCCCAGCGCCTGGGTACCACAGGGACCAAATTCCTCCTTTGGGGGGGCCCCTGGAGGCTTGGCAACAGGTGCCTTGACTGCTTGCCTCCCCCTCCCCCCCTTCCTGGGACTCCCCTCTTACAGTCTAAGGTGGTCTAAGGCGGTTGGAGGGGGACGGGACTCTGTGGTCCAGAGAACACTCCCAGCTTCAGTGAGCAAAATATTTATTAAAAAGAGAAGGAGGGTTATGTTGGGTATTCTTAATTTTAAAGTAAATCAGCAGAGTATTAAAGAGGCAGAGTCCATGGTGTGTTTAAAAGAATAAAAGTTTACTACAACCTAGCATGGGGAAAAGGTACACGGGATGTAAAATAACAAAGAGCGAATATGCCTACATCCTGACAGCTAGACTGAAAATGGCAGAAGAGAGGCTTCTTCTTCTTGCTCAGAACAAAGAACCACAAGACGGGAAGAGAAGCCATAACATGCTACTACTTGGCACTTTGGTCTCCAATCAGAACAACAAACTAGCTCTGAAGTTCCCGGGCTTTCTAACTGTCTAAAAGAGATTGGTTACAAACAAACATGCGACTTAACAAACATCATTAACCCAGTTAATACTGAAAGGGTTTTAACTTGTAACACCCAGCAGGTTACAAGCATACTTTTAGTACAGCACCAAGAGCAGCAACCAGAAGGGACAAAGAGAAGCTGGTCATAATCGCCTCCCCCGTTTTACTACGGCTCGTTAACTCCACGGAGTTCTTGCATTGGGACGAAGGGAGGAAAGGACTTCTCTCCCTGCCTTCTCCATCCCAGGCACAGTTTTGTAAGCCTCTGCTGTGTCGCCCCCTCCGTTGCCCTTTCTCCAGGCTAAAGAGCCTCCGTAGGAGCCTTCCTAAACAGCGAAAGGGTTCCAGCCCCTTCATCACCCCAGTTGCCCTTTTCTGCTCCTTTTCCAATGCCAGAATATCCTTTTTGAGGTGCGGCGACCAGGACTGTAGGCGGTACTCCAAATGAGGCCGCACCATTGATTTATACAAGGGCACTAAGATCCTGGCTGATTTGTTTTCAGTTCCATTCCTCATAATCCCCAGCATGGGGTGAACAAACATGTGGACAAGGGGGATCCAATAGATATTATTTACCTTGACTTCCAGAAAGCTTTTGATAAAGTTCCTCATCAAAGGCTCCTAAGTAAGCTCAAAAATCATGGGATAGAAGGACAAGTCCTTTTATGGATCAAAAACTGGCTAGTTCATAGAAAACAGAGAGTGAGTGTAGGTGGGCAATTTTCTCAGTGGAGGGTGGTAAGCAGTGGGGTACCGCAGGGATCAGTACTTGGTCCACTGCTTTTTAACTTGTTCATTAATGATTTGGAGATGGGAGTAAGCAGTGAAGTGGCTAAATTTGCGGATGATACAAAGTTGTTCAGGGTGGTGAAAACCAGTGAGGATTGTGAGGCACTCCAAGGGGATCTGTCAAGGATGGGCGAGTGGGCGTCAACATGGCAAATGGGGTTCAATGTGGCCAAGTGCAAGGTGATGCACATTGGAGCCAAAAATCCTAAATATAAATACACATTGATGGGGTCTGAACTGGCAGAGACTGAGCAAGAGAGAGATCTTGGAGTTGTAGTGGATAACTCACTGAAAATGTCGAGACAGTGTGTGACTGCAATAAAGAAGGCCAATGCTATGCTGGGGATTATTAGGAAGGGTATTGAAAACAGATCAGCCAATATAATAATGCCCCTATATAAATCAATGGTGAGACCTCATTTGGAATACTGTGTGCAGTTCTGGGCACCACACCTTAAAAAGGATATTATAGCTTTGGAAAAAGTGCAGAAAAGGGCAACTCGAATGATAAAAGGGTTGGAACACTTTCCCTATGAGGAAAGGTTAAAGCGCTTAGGGCTCTTTAGCTTGGAGAAAAGACGACTGAGGGGTGACATGATCGAGGTTTATAAGATTATGCATGGGAAAGAGCAGGTAAAGAAAGAGGTACTTTTCTCCCTTTCTCACAATACAAGAACTCGTGGGCACTCCATGAAACTGCAGAGCGGTCGGGTTAGAACGGATAAAAGGAAGTACTTCTTCACCCAAAGAGTGATTAACACATGGAATTCACTGCCACAGGAAGTGGTGGGTGCTACAAGCATGGACGGCTTCAAAAGGGAATTAGATAAGCATATGGAGCAGAGGTCCATCAGTGGCTATTAGCCACAAGGTATAGCTAGGGGCTCTGGGGCAAGTGATGCTCTGTCTTCTTGGTGCTTGGGGGGGGGGTCAACAGTGGGATGGCTTCTAATGTCCTGGCCCCACTGCTGGACCTCCTGATGGCACTGGTATTTCTGGCCACTGTGTGACACAGAGTGTTGGACTGGATGGGCCATTGGCCTGATCCAACATTGGCGTCTCTTATGTTCTTATGTTCTTATGTTCATGGCGTTTGCCTTTTTTCTGGCTGTTGCACACTTTGCCACCACCACCACTACCCCTTGCCCACTTTATATCTGAATGGGTGAGACCCAGGAATGGGCATCTGGATGGGCCCTCCCTGAAGCGTGTTCTTCTGCGGCAGTGCTGGAAAGCATGGGGCGTGGGGGTGCCAGCGGCATTGGTGGGTTGATTCCCAGGATCCTGTCAGTACCCGGGGGCACAGGGGGGGGGGTCTGGATCAGGGCAGCAAACCCCAGTGGTGACCGAGGCTACCTCCAAGCGGTGGAGTCTCGTGAGCAAAAATTCTGCTTTGTGAGCTGCTGGCCTTAAAGTGGTGAGCTATGAGCCGTTTGGCTGCTGCGTAGATTAGTTTGCTCTGGAGCCCCATCCCTTCCTGAGCTAGGACAAAAACGTGTGAGCCGGGGGAGGCTAAAGAGCCGTGAGCTGGCTCACATGGAATTCCAAGGGTTCTGGCTTGCAGGGGATCTTGGCCCCGCGACTTCCCCTCCTCCCGCAAGCGCCAACTCAGCCCTGCCGAAGCTGCCTCCGCAAAAGAGGAGAGAGTCACCAGTGCCCTAGTAGGGCCCACCTAGCCAGTCTCAGGGCGTGGGGGGCAGGTGAGGATCCAGAGGAGGTGCTGATCGAGGCAATGGAATGCCGGCCAGGGGGCACGCCCAACCTGCCCCGGAACCCTCTGCCAGGCGGCTCTTGTCAGGCGGTGCTGGCGGGCGGGGGCCCAGGCAAGCCCTGGCAGGTCGGAGGAGGAGGCGCCTGAGGTCTCCGTGCTCGCTTGCGCAAGAGGCGTAGGGTGGGGCTGGGGAGCAGCTGGGTGGGGGAGAAGGCACCGGGCTCGCCTGATCTGGAGGGCAGCAGCAGCAGAGAATGAAGACCCGGCTGGGGATCCGCGGGATGGAGACCCTCCAAGACACGTCCCGCAACGCCCTCCGCGGGTGCTTCCGGTTGCTCAAGCCGTGAGTCAAGAGATCAGGAATCGGCCCGGATTTCACAACCCTGCAATCTTGTCTCAACAACACCCTGATAAAATCTCCCGCCTGCCAGTTGAGCCCCCGGGAGTCTTCACGGTTGTGCCCGCTTCTGGTGCCTCATGCTGATTTTTTTGTCAAAGCACATGGTTCCTAACGTTAGCTTGGTGCCAACAGAAAATGGGTGGCATAAAAGAAAGACATGAGGTGGGAACCCTGGCAGCACACAGCTGCCTCAGGCGCCCCGGCAGGAGGGAGGGGCAGGCAATATGCAGCCATGCCTAGTGGAGGGTGGAGGGCCTGGCAGGGTGGTTCTCCTTCCTGGAAAACCCCGTCCCTTTTGGATAAACAAGCAGGAGGAGGTCCTAAAACTGATAGACAACTCAAAAAGTGATAAATCACCAGGCCCAGATGGCATACATCCGAGAGTTCTGAAAGAACTCAAATGTGAACTTGTGGATCCCCTGACAAAAATATGTAATCTTTCCTTAAAATCTGCCTCCATTCCTGAGGACTGGAAGGTAGCTAATGTCACTCCCATCTTTAAAAAGGGTTCCGAGGAGATCCGGGAAATTACAGTCCAGTCAATCTGACGTCGATACCAGGTAAATTGGTGGAAACCATTATTAAGGAAAGAATTAGTAGACACATAGATGAACAAAACCTATTGAGGAAGACTCAGCACGGGTTCTGTAAGGGAAGATCTTGTCTCACTAACCTGTTAGTGTTCTTTGAGGGGGTGAACAAACATGTGGACAAGGGGGATCCAATAGATATTGTTTACCTTGACTTCCAGGAAGCTTTTGATAAAGTTCCTCATCAAAGGCTCCTAAGTAAGCTCAAAAATCATGGGATAAAAGGACAAGTCCTTTTATGGATCAAAAACTGGCTAATTAATAGAAAACAGAGAGTGAGTATAAATGGGCAGTTCTCTCAGTGGAGGGGGGTAAGCAGTGGGGTACCGCAGGGATCAGTACTTGGTCCACTGCTTTTTAACTTGTTCATTAATGATTTGGAGTTGGGAGTAAGCAGTGAAGTGGCTAAATTTGCGGATGATACAAAGTTGTTCAGGGTGATGAAAACCAGTGAGGATTGTGAGGCACTCCAAAGGGATCTGTCAAAGATGGGCGAGTGGGCGTCAACATGGCAAATGGGGTTCAATGTGGCCAAGTGCAAGGTGATGCACATTGGAGCCAAAAATCCTAAATATAAATACACGTTGATGGGGTCTGAACTGGCAGAGACTGATCAAGAGAGAGATCTTGGAGTTGTAGTAGATAACTCACTGAAAATGTCGAGACAGTGTGTGACTGCAATAAAGAAGGCCAATGCTATGCTGGGGATTATTAGGAAGGGTATTGAAAACAGATCAGCCAATATCATAATGCCCCTATATAAATCAATGGTGCGACCTCATTTGGAATACTGTGTGCAATTCTGGTCACCACACCTTAAAAAGGATATTATAGCTTTGGAAAAAGTTCAGAAAAGGGCAACTCGATTGATAAAAGGGTTGGAACACTTTCCCTATGAGGAAAGGTTAAGGCGCTTAGGGCTCTTTAGCTTGGAGAAACGACGACTGAGGGGTGACATGATTGAGGTTTATAAGATTATGCATGGGAAAGAGCAGGTAGAGAAAGAGGTACTTTTCTCCCTTTCTCACAATACAAGAACCCGTGGGCACTCCATGAAATTGCTGAGCGGTCGGGTTAGAACGGATAAAAGGAAGTACTTCTTCACCCAAAGAGTGATTAACACATGGAATTCACTGCCACAGGAAGTGGTGGGTGCTACAAGCATGGACGGCTTCAAAAGGGAATTAGATAAGCATATGGAGCAGAGGTCCATCAGTGGCTATTAGCCACAAGGTATAGATAGGGACTCTGGGGCAAGTGATGCTCTGTCATCTTGGTGCTTGGGGGGGGGGCAACAGTGGGAGGGCCTCTAGTGTCCTGGCCCCCACTGCTGGACCTCCTGATGCACTGGTATTTCTGGCCACTGTGGGATACAGAGTGTTGGACTGGATGGGCCTTTGGCCTGATCCAACATTGGCATCTCTTATGTTCTTATTTTCTTATGATTTCCAACGAGCGGCCCTTCACCCCAAGGGGATCTTTGGGCCAGTTGTGATGGGCAGTGCCTGGCACCATGCCCGCTCCTCTCGGAGGCCTGGCGGGCAGTGCCCCGTAAGCGGGCTCCAGGGCTGGCCGTCTCAGGCAGCGAGTTGCGTGACCAGGCCTGTGTCTTCTCTCCCCCCGACCCCCCAGTCCACTATGCTGCTGACAAACTGGACGACTTCATCAGCGTGGCCAACCTTCAGCTGCAGCCCCTCTTCCTGGAGATCCGGAGAGGCATGGCGGAGGAGACCGGCAGGACGTGCTACGCCTTGGTAAGACGGGGGCTGCCCCGCCATCGCCTGGGTCTGCCCCCCCCCCCATTACTCCGGAGGTGCAGGAGGCTCTCTTGCTGGAGGCCCAGGCCAGTCAGAAGCAGCCGGGGGGTGGGGGGCAAGGAGAGAACCCGGCAGGGGCAGCCGGAGGAGGCTTGGTGCAAAACGTCCCTCGAGGAAGCGTCCCACTGGGGGGGGGGACAGGGAGGCAGCCCATTTTGGGCTGGGACAGACCTGTGGCGACTTCACTGTCAGCACTGTTCTGTTTTTGTGCAGGTAAATCTGGCGGAATCGGAAGTCACCCGAATGGCAAGTGACTACTCCGAAACGGAGCTAGAGCTGTTCAAGAAAACGGTAAGTGGGTGTTTGAAGGCCGGCGCTCAGAGCTGTGTGGGGTGTGCGTGTCACAGGCCTCCCTCCGGAGTATGAACGGCCAGTTTCGAATGCTCACCTGGCAGCCTTGCTTCCCAGCAGCACCTGAGTGGTGGGGAAATGAGGGGTGCAGGAGAGCCAGTTTGGTGCAGTGGTTAAGTGCACGGACTCTAATCTGGGAGAACCGGGTTTGATTCCTCACTCTTCCTCCACTTGCACCTGGCTGGGTGACCTTGGGCAAGCCGTAGTTCTGATAAGAGCTGTCCTTGAAAAAGAGCAGTTTCTGTCCAGAGCTCTCTCAGCCCCACCTAGAAGAAGAGATTGGATTTATACTCCATGGCCCTTCACTACCCAAAGGTGTCTCAGAGCGGCTGACAAACTCCTCTCCCTTCCCCTCCCCACAACAGACACCCTGTGAGGTAGGTGGGGCTGAGAGAGCTCTGACAGAAACTGTTTTAATGTTTTAAACTGAGATTGTATTTATTTTAACGATGTTACCTGCCCGCTCGCAGGATGGGCGGGATATAAATGCAAACAAACAAACAAATAAGAGCGGAAAGGGCATGGGGCTGTCCCCTTTGGACCCAGAGGTATGGGGCCAGAGCATAACTTGACATGTATTTGGGGGGGGATTTGCTGTGATGTATAGTTGGGGGTGTGGAAAACACTGCCTGAGTGAGAGTGGGCAGGCAGTCTCAGCCCACCCCCACCCCCGGCCCGCCCCAGCATTGCTGGAGACTCCGTGCGGGGCCTGGAAGGGGGGGGGGGCCCTCACTGCCTGGACTTTGCCTCCATTTGACGCATCTGTGAAATTGGGGAGAAGAGAGGGTGTTTGTTAGCAGAGCCGTTTGGAGGCCCTGCAGACTGTAGGACGTGAGCCCAGACGGGATTCCCGGGGGCGCCTGGTTCTGTCTCCTGCCGCAGATGGACCTGATCGTCCTGTCCGAAAATGGTTTTGCGTCTTCCACGGAGATCTTGAACTTGGCCGACCAGCTGAAGCCCAAAAAGATGAAGAAGAGGGAAGCGGAGCAGGTGCTGCAGCGCTTGGTCGAGGACAAGTGGCTGTCCGAGGTAGCGGCTCTTGTGTGTGTGTGTTGTGTCCCCCCCCCCCGCCTGGCTGCCTTGGCAGATGGGGCCCTCCCCCCCCCCCCGGAGCAGCAGAGCAGGCGTGGCCCAGCTGGACCTGTGTCGGTCATGTGTTGTGGCTGGCGCTGACCCAAACGACTGCCCATCTGTGCAGCAGCAGCAGGAGAGTGATGGGGCTGGGGGGGAGGGAGGCCCACGTTCACAGCAGCGCCTGCTTTCCCCCTCCCCCCTTCAGAAAGAGGGCGAGTTCACGCTGCACCCCCGCTGCATCCTGGAACTGGAGCAGTACATCCTCAGCCACTACCCGGACACGGCCCGCAAGTGCCACATCTGCCACGCCCTGGTTGTTCAGGTAAGCCGGGCGGCAGTCCCGCTGCTGCTGCTCTCGCGGGGGGGGGGGGGGCCGCGGCCGCCTGTTTCCAAGCCGCTGGTGGGCCCGGAGGGAGCTGTTCAGAAGGGAAACGGGGAGTGCCAGAGGTCCCTGCCTGCTCCTCGGCCTCCCTGCCTAGACCAGTCCCTGCTGTTCCACCTGGACTCCCACCCCAGGTCAGCCCACCTGTGCTGAAGGCGGAAGGAAACCCCCACCGGGGCCACTCCCCCAGGGCTTCCGGACGGAGCCCCCCCCCCCCCCCACTGACCGGGACCGCCCTCTCTCTCCCCCTCTCCCAGAGCCAGGTCTGTGCAGACTGTGGGATCGCCATGCACGCCCCGTGCCTAGCCAGGTACTTCCGAGGGAAGGCAGAGCCTCGGTGCCCGCGCTGCAAACAGTTCTGGCCTCCCGGGACCTCAGGTACAGCCCCTCTCCCAAACCGCCCATGGGGGGAGGAAGGGGCTTCTCCTCATCGCACAGGGAACCAGGGCACAGGGAGATCCGAAAAGGAAATGGCTTTTATTCAATAGGGCAGTGTCTGAAAGAGAGGGCAAGCGAGGGAAGGAAGCCCTGTGGGCCGCCCGGGGGAGCATTTTCCGGGACGAGCAGGGCCTCACGCAGACGCCATGAGCCAGCCCCCGCGGGGCTTCCACGCAGTCCTTGCCGAGGCGCCCTGCCTTGTGTGGCTGCGGGGTGGACAGAGGGAGGGGCTCTTTCCCGCCGTTCCATCACCAGCCTTCTCTTCTCTTCTCTTCCTGGCACAGCCGTGAGCCAGCCGCCTGCTCCGTCGTCCTCCAGCACCCTGAGGGAGGGCAGAAGGGCCTCCTCCTCCTCCTCCTCCGTGGGACCCCGGCGGCGGCGGTAGAGATGCTGCTGGGCAAGGCGGACGGGTCCTCCCAGCCGTCACAGCGCAGGAAAGAGCGGCCTCAATGCCCCCCCCCCACACACACACACACTGGGCTGCTGGAATCGGCGGCGTTTCTGGAATTAAATGTCTCGCTGTCTTTTCCTCAAGGATTGTTTTGTCCCTTCACTGATGCCCGTCGGAGGGGCTCCGGGTCACAAGCTGAGCGCCCCCCCCCCCCCCCCCGCTCAGGGCTTGCCGAGGGAAACTCTGACGCGTGCCCCAGGTGGGGGAACAGCCGCCTTTGAGAGATGCAGCAGTGCAGGGAAGGAAGAGGCCCTCCTGGGCAGACCGGACAGCCACGCCTCCCCCCCCCCCACGGCCCTGCTTCACAGAGTGCCCCTTTCCTTCATGAAAGGGACGGGGGTCTGGAAACGCTCGTCGGTGGCATCCGGCGCCAGAGCTGTGAACCTCGACACAGAAGCGTTTCCGAGCCAAACTCCCCTCTCGTGCTGCTTCTCGCTCTGGCTCTCTGTTCCGGAAGACTCTCTGGCCCCGGCCTGTAGTAGAGTCCCTCCCTCCCTTGGGGGGAGGAGGAGGAGGAGCCGTTCAGGCAGGCAGGCAGGCAGGCAGGCAGCCGCGTCCCGCTCTCCCAGCCGTCCGGGGCTAGGACCACCAGAAGCTGACGGAGAAGCTGGTGTCCAGGGCCCGCACGTAGTGCCAGTACTTGACAGGGATGAAGAGCACCTGGCCTGGCTCCAGGATGCAGGCCTGAAACGCGGCCCTCTCAAACTGGGGGAACTTCACCAAGTCGGGATCTTCCACCTCCACCTGGACAGGACAGAGGAGCAGTGTGTCCCTGTAAGCTGAGTGAGTGTGAGCCAGCTCACCGTTTTTTAGCTTCCGGTTCACACGTTCTTGTCTCAGCTCAAGAAGGATGGGGCTCCAGAGCAAACTGATCTATGCAGTAGCCAAATCACTCGCTCACAACCTTAATGCCAGTAAGCTCACGAAGTAGGGCTTTTGCTCACCAGACTCCACCACAGCTTAGAGGGAGCCTTGCAGAGGAGGAGTCCTTTGCGTCACGCCCGCCGTGGGAGAACCGCGTGGCCGCAGCGTCTTCTGTGTGTGTGTGTGGGGGGGGAGGTGTCACTCACCTGGCTCGTGTTGTGGAGCAGGTGGCCCTCGTGGGGGTACAGGTTCTCTGACTGGGCGGGGGAATAGAGGCGCAGGTACTTCCGCCCCATGACCTGCCGGTGGGAAAGAGGGGAACAGCTCAGCCAAGATACAGCGGCTGGATTCTGGCTCCTGGGCCGCCTCCCTGTCTTGAGCGGACACACTCGGCACTCTGCTGATTTGCAGAGCAGAAAGGGACCGTGTGTGTGTGTGTGTGCACGCTGAGCTTCCAGCCGCATTGCAAGGAGAGAGGCCGCTCTGTGCCGTTTCACCCCGTGCCCCCATTGCTACCCAACGCGAGGACAGGGAGGGAATGGTCTTGTGTGACTAGTGCACCGAAGTGGGGAGGGGTGCTCTCCGGCTTGTCATGGGGCCACTGGGGGAGGCGGAGCCCCCCACACACACACTCCGTGATGAGGAGCCTCTGCCCGGTCGGCTCCGGCTGCCCTCTGGACACCCACCCACCGCAGGCGCCCACTGCTTTCGCGGCCGCCTCGTGAAAAGGCACAGAGAGGGCCAGACCTGGACCAAGAAGTTCTGCTGCGGGTCCTGGTGGAGGGGCGACACGGTCCCTGCGGGCCCAAACCAGGCGTTGACGGTGATGTCCTCTTCCTCGCCTTGGCCCAGGCAGCAGTAGTCGGGGACGCCGATGTCCCGCTTCAGCTCTGGGATCTGGCAGGGAGCAGGAGGGGGGGGGAGAGAGAGTCACACCCAGAGGCCACCCTTCTCTTCGTCTCAGGGACGGAGGAGCACGCGCGCAGGGCACCCCAGCTCGTAACATGGAGGAGACTGTCTTTGGCCCCTGTGGCGAAGGGGCAGACTTCCCGGTGGTCTCACTCAAGGGGGGAAGCACATCCCATCCCGCTGCGGACCCCTCCTTGCACAGGGGGAATGTCCCTCCCTCCCTCCCGGGGTGGACATCATCACACACCAGGCCTCCCCGTCACTTCGAGGAGAGCAGGCAGCAGAGGATCAGTGGACTCACAAGGATGGGTTTAACTCACAGGCAGAAAGGTACCGGCTGGATATTAGGGGAAATGTTTTTGCAGTAAGAGTAGTAAGGTGGAATCAGCTGCCTAGGAGGTGGCAAGCTCCCCCTCCCTGGCAGTCTTCAAGCAGATTATGGCTACAAGCAGAGACGGCTTCAAGAGGGGACTGGATAAACATACGGAGCAGAGGTCCATCAGTGGCTCTTAGCCACAGGGTACAGATGGGAACTCTCGGTCTGGGGCAAGGGATGCTCTGGGTTCTTGGTGCTTTGGGGGGGGGCAACAGTGGGAGGGCTTCTAGTGTCCTCTGGCCCCACTGCTGGGCCTCCTGAGGGCACCGGGTATTTCTGGCCACTGTGTGACACACAGAGTGTTGGACGGGAGGGGCCACTGGCCTGACCCAGCTTTGGCTCCTCTTCTGTTCAGAGGCTGGACAGACCCTTGTGTCAGGGGTGCTCTAGGATGATCCTGCAGTGAGCAGGGGGTGGGACTAGATGGCTCCTGGGTGGCCCCTTCCTACCCTGTGAAGAGTTGCTTTTGCACGCATGTGGAGAGGGGGAGAGGGAGAGAGACCGTCCAGCAGCACAGGCCACTTGAGCCCCACCCCACTTGGGGAGGCCAGACACCAACCCCAAGGACTTTCGGGGGGGGGTGCTTCCTCCTCCACTGCCCCACCCAGACTGTGCCCCCCCCCCTTTGTGGTCTTGCTCCAGCATCCTCTGGCTCACCACAGGATGTTTGGCAGCAAGAAGCGCTGCAACACTCGGGTTCGCTGGAAATGTGTCAGAGGAAGGGTTTGGGCCGCGACCCACCCTGACACAGGCGTGGGGCGGGGCTGTACTTGACGGAGGGGCCGTGGGGCTCCGTGGAAGAGCCTCGGCTTGCCAGGCTTGGGGAGGCCCCCTGGGTTCACTCCTTGGCAGCATCGATTCTCCAGCGACGAGGAGCAGGCGGCGGGAAGGGCCTCTGCCCGGGGCCCTGGCAGAGCTGCCGCCTGCCCGCCCGACGTCGAGGGGCCAGGTTCCATGGGAGGCAGCTTCACTCGTGGGCATGCGTGTCCCTTTTGCTCCCTCCCAAGTGCCCTATTCTCCTCCGTTACCTGGTCAAAGAGCTGGTGCTGGGCAAGGTAGCCGGTGTGGTTCTGGAGGCAGAGAGAAGGAAGAGGAGGAAGGGATCAGGAGCGTCTTCGCATCTAAGAGAGCAGCAGCAGCAGAGCCGCAGCCAAGAACACGGCGGGCAGCAGGCAGTGACTCGCATGGGGCTCCCCCCCCCGCGCACCCAGTGGTGCCCGTCCCGCTCTGCAGGGCTCGAGTGTTTTTGGGCACCCCCTGAGCAGGGTCCTCCGGCCCTCCCCAGCTAGGCCGCTTTCTCCGCTGGCCCCTCCCGAGAGGCTCCGACCTCAGTCTCGATGTACCGGCTGATGAAGTCATCGACAGACATGAGCGCCTGGGACCACTCCTCGTCCGTGTAGCGGGAGCCCACTTCCACGGGGACGGTGCGGCTGCCGGCCACCTGGCGGATGTAGTCCACGCTGCGGCGAAAGGCAAAAGGGCTCACCCCCTCCGCTCTGGGGCCGCGTCCCAAAGGGCCCCTGGTCCACAGAGCCCACGGAAGATATCCCCACCCCACCCCAACCACCACCCATCTTTACTCCCCTCTCAAGAGGAAGAGGCTGCTCTGTCAGGGGCCACTGCTGTGTTCCTGTAAGCTGGCAAATACCCTGCAGGGTTTGGGCTAGCCCAGGGGTGTCAAACATGCGGCCCGGGGGGGGGGGGCGGATAAGGCCCCCGGAGGGCTTCCATCAGGCCCACAGTGGAACTGGCCGTCTCCTGCTCCCAGTTCTGCTGCTGCTGCTGCATCCTAGCTTGCTTCGCCAGACTCTCTTAATCACTCAGCCATTTCGTGTTTTAACCTGGGTCCCAGACTCAGAACTCTGAGCGTGAGATTTCTGTGGTGAATGTCAATAAATCAAAAGGAGGTTTGCAGCTTACAGATACACACTTGAACAGCAGACTCGAGATTGCAACAGCACAGACATTCTGATGCAATAATTCAGAGCAAGGGGTGTCAGTGATCAGACACTGTTAAATAAGCAAAACGTTGCAAGAGTGCTGATGTTTCAAGCATGCTTTTATTTTAATTTTTTAAAAGCCATCTTTGTGTTTGTGTCCTTTATAAAGTTTATATGTTTGCTACCTGGCATTACATTTTATGACACACCCGGCCCGGCCCAACAAGGTCTCATTCATGTCAGGTCCGGCCCACGTATAACGAATGAGTTTGACGCACCTGGCCTAGTCTGACATTATCCCCCGAGGTGCCCCCCAGGCTCTCGCTCGTGTGGAGGACAATTACTTATTTAGACTTTCTATCCTGCCTCTCCCCTAGAATGGGGCTCAGGGCGACTAACAACAATAAAATAACAATAATAAAACTGTAATTCCAATAAAATCCAGTTAAAGCCTGCCAATTAAGCAAGTCTACTGACAGCTACGAGCCACGGGGGCTCAGTGGAACTTCCATGTGCAGAGGCAGTGTCCAGCGACATCCCTGGCAAACGAGAGCCTTCACGCCCCCCCTGCCCACGGATGTTCGAGGAGGGGTGCCTGGTGGGCTTCTGTGGGGAACAGGATGTGGGATTCCCTGGCCCTTTGGGCTGATTCTCCTAGTGCTCTAGTGCCCCCCCCTCCCGTCAGCAGCTCAGGTCTCAGAGTCAACCATGACCTCTTGGGCCCAGTGAGTCTGGTGAACTGACAAAAGGGGCCAAACTGAACCCAGTTCTTTCCGGCAGAAAATTCTCTGTCCTGGAAGATTTTTCTGCTGGAAGATTCCTATGCCTAGAAACGCAGAGCTTCGTAAAATCGAGTTAGCATAATAAACGGATGCAGAACCTGCCCAGTAGGAGAGCCGCAGTAGGGGAGTTTTCTCTGGTGACTCTCCCTGAGGAAGCGTCCACAAACGGAGCATGCCTTATAAAGCACGTTAAGTCTGTGCTTATCGAGCGTTGTCGACCAAAAAAACAAGAATGTCGCAGTTGAACCGCTTTTGGCTTCTGGAGATATTTAGACAGCACACACAAAGCTGATGTGAGATTACTTTTAAATAAGTTTGATTTTCTAAACAGAAGTCCAACCAGCTAAATCAGACGTTGCTCACTTTGCACTGGAATGCTACTATCGATGGCTGATGGCTCCTTACCGTCCTATACCACTTGTTGGAATAAAGACTGCTCTCAACCACTTTCTTTAGATCAATGGGGGGAAAATGGACCTCTATCTTTCGGGCAAAAAGTATATTTATTCGCAGTCAATTCTTTAAAGTGATTACTAGATGGTATTTAACCCCAAAAAAACTGAGCCACATCCAAAAAGACACCTCACCAAATTGCCGGAGAGGCTGTCAAGAACTGGGCTCCTACAGACATTGCTGGTGGGACTGTACAATTACAAGAAATTTTTGGAAATCAGTTGTAAAATAAATTTATGCTATAACTAAATTTGAGGTCCCGTTTGAAATGGAATCTTTAGTATTAAACTATTGGCCTACTACCGAAGGTAATATGCCTAATTCTGGTCTAATAGAAATACTTTGTGCAGCAGCTCGCACAGTCATTGCTAGGTTTTGGAAAGATGACAAAAAACCTACCATATCCGATTGGTTTTGAAAGTTCAGGAACTTTGTATAATGGACAAATTAGCAGACTCCATGTTACCAGGTGAATCTGACCCCTATGCCTCAAACTTTGTTAAAATTTGGTTTCCAGTTCTTGAGTACTTTGCTTCTCAAAAGGAATTTGAACCTATTCTTGAAACTATTAATGTTTTGTATTAGTTTGATTGACCTTTGTTCTAAATATATACATGTTGCATCCTCCCTCCCTCAAAGTAGTTTATTTTTTGGGATATATTGCTGTTACAATTATTTATAACCGATTGTTGTTATCACTTCTGTGCTAAGCGTGTATATGTTTATCAATTTCAAAAAAGCTGTGATCGAGGGCGAAAAAATGTTTTCCAGTTCCAAGTTTTCTGGAAAGCCCGTGTGGCTGGTTGGGTCACCAGTCTACCTTGCCTGACAAGCAGCCTTCAATGCCTTAACTGCTGGGGAAATGTTCTTGCCCTCTAGCATGTACTGTACCGCCTGGCAAGGGTGGGCACGGAACCATTCTGTGCTTCAGAAACACAGTGATGCCTTCCAGGGGCACAGGCACAGACCAGATGTGGTGACACACCCCTCAGGGTCCTGCAGCCTTCCTGCACGGTCGGAGTCACCCCAGAGATGTTTTAATGCAGCGCTTGCGGTGAGCGGGACTAAGATGTGTTGAGTGCGAGCCCCCACCCAGCAGGGCTGTTCTGTCAGGACCGGCTGGACAGCCAAACTAAGTTTCCACTTCTACGAGAAGGGAGCATCACGCGCGAGAAATCCTAGCAGAGGGCAGCTTTGGCAGCCCCCCCAGCTCAGAGGCTGAGGAAGCAGCTACTGCAGAGCTGCTCCTGGGAGTGGGGGGGGGGGGGACGACCAGCGACAGAAACACGGGGGGAGGGGGTATTTCCCCTTACCTCCACTTCTTCATGCAGGGCCAGTGGTCAACAATCCCTTCCAAGATCACAGGCTTTTGAGGGAGCAGGAAGTTATCTCGGAAATGCTCCAGCGACGGGCAGCAAAGCCGCAAAATCCTCTCTTCTGCTTCTACAGCAGGGACCTCTGGGTACTTGGGGCCCAGGCGGATTCTCTGCAAGGAGAGGAGGCATTCTCAGCACTGCCAGCTCAAACCTTCCTTACCGTGCAGACCGTTTCTCGTGGCATGCGGCTCTCAAAAGGTCAAGACAGTGGAGCAGTGGGCACCATAAACATGTGCGGTGAATGGTGAAAGGCCCTATTTTATGGGATTTCCGTCCACCTTAATGGTAGCTTGCCCGGAACCCAGGGGTCGGATCCGTTTCCAGATGAACAAAAAGCAGCCTAGGCTGCCGTTTAGCGGCCTGCAATTCAAGGACACCCAATACCTTTTGAAGGGGTTCCTTCGCATCTCCGCCCGCCAGTCTTTTGGGGTGTGGCAGGTGCCGCTGAAGGATGTTGATCATTCTGGCCAAGACGTTGTCCAAGATGGAGGCCCCCATCAGCAGCCCCAGGTCGCAGGTGCGCACGGCCTCAGGCACGGCTCCTCCGGCATGGCACAAGCAGAGCGCTTTGAAGAGGCAGCCGTAAGCGTAGACACGGCGCCACTCCTTGTCCACGTCCCTCCATGTCCCGATGTTCAGCTTTTCCCAAGAGTAGTCCAGGATCACCTCGCTCAGGCACAGGCAGGTGCTGCTGCTGCCGCCGCCGCCAGGGTCGGAGGCGAGGCCGTTGCCCAGACCGTAGAGCAGATCTGCCACCTGCTGGAGCAGGTAGAGGACGCTGCTCTCCACGGCCTCGCCAAAGTCCAGCTGCAAGCCCTCCTTGGTGCTGGGAAGCAGCGCCTGGAGGTCAGCCCACAAGGTGCCGGCAGGTGGGGCTGGGCCCGGAGGGGCAGACGACCGCTCCCCGCTGTCTTGGGTGGGGCTCCTCGACTCCTCGCTCCCCTCCATCTGGCGGCGCTTCCGGGGTGTCCCCACGACAAATCCTCCCGCTGTAAGGGAGGGACAGAAGCAGGACCCCGTGTTCCCCTGTGAAGCCCACCAAGCAATGGGCCAGAAGCTCAGGGGGCAGGGCGGCTGTGCCATCTCTGAGTCCTCCCAGGCTGCAGGGGGGGAATAGGCACGAAAGGAGGAGGAGGGGCAGGACGGTGGGCCTCTGTCTCCCACCCCCAATAACCTGCAACTAAATCAGGCCTAAGAGTCCCCCTTTCCCCAAGTCTGGATCTTTCCTGCCTGATCTCAGCTGCTGCTGCTGCCTTCAGAGGTAGACTGCATCTGCGTGTGGAGGTTCCCTGTGCAGCCGCAATGTGGGGCGGGGGTCCCTCCCCCAATTCCCCCCAGCACGGGAGCCCTGCGTGACGGGGCGTCCCCTTTTGAGAGGGTGTGGCCTCCCTGGAGCCCTTTTCTTTTAAAAAATAAGAAAGGGATGCAAGTGTTCCCTTTTGGGGCTGGAGGGTCAGGGACCCCCCCCCCCCCCCGTTAGGTGAGGGGTTCTCACCGCTTAAAGAGTCGGGGGTGGGGGTGGAGGGGGAAGCATCTCAAGCCAGATTAGTGTGAAGCCCTCAGTCGGCGAAGAAGAGGAAGAGGAGGAGATTGGATTTATACTGCTCTTCACTACCCAAGGGAGTCTCAGAGCAGCTTACAAATCTCCTCTTCCTTCCCCCTCCCCACAACAGACACCCCCTGTGAGGCAGGTGGGGGCTGAGAGAGCTCTCCTGAGGACTGCCCCTGAGAGAACAGCTCCAAGAGAACTTGTGACTGGCCCAAGGTCACACTGGCAGCTGCAAGTGGGGGAATCAAACCCGGTTTCTCCCGGATGAGAGTCCTCCTGCCCTCCACCACCACCCCAGACTGGCTCCTCTTCTCCCTTTCGCTTGCCAGCTCCAGGTGGGGAGATTCCTGGAGATTTTGGGGTGGGTGGGGGTGGAGGCAGAGGAGGGCGGGGTTTGGGGAGGGGAGGGACCTCAG